GCTTAATTTATATCGAATACAACGCGCACGCAGGCTAAATAACTTAAGCTTAAGTTTAATACAATGTCAAACACAAATAAAGATAAGTTAATAATTTAAGTGCAGCAAGCTACGGGTCTAATCGTTACATTTTATTTTTCTACACAAAAACAAACGTACATAAAAATATTCAAGTTAATTTAAGCTTAAGGTAAGTTCAGTTCGTAAAGCTAATCCGATATCCGCTAGCGTAATAATGACATGAAATCTTACCTTAAAATTTGGCAAGGAATAATTGCTAAAATTCATCTTTGTTGTGAATATTTATAGACTTGAGATCAAGATTAATCTTCCAGAGCAAAAGCAGTACTCGAACAAACGTTTGTTCTTCCACAAATCGACGTTGAGTGCTTTAGCAAAACATACTATTACGTCGTATTTATAGCACAACATGACCGATTTGTCAACAAAGACACAATCTTTTCTTTGTGGGGTAGAGTAGAATTCGATAAACGGAATCAAAATTTCTTTTATTGTTCCCAACTTTTTCTAATAAAGAAATATCTAAAAAGTTTTTAAAACCATATTGGTATATCTTCTCATATATTTTATGAGAGAATATGTCTAGTTACACCCACATAATAAAAGTATAAAATAAACATTACGCACCCCNAGTCAAGGAACCTTGTCTTCTAGGATTCCAAATGAAAATAAAGATTTAACAATACATATCACGGCTACGGAACAGTACTGTCACAGTATGAAAATAAGGTGTTTTTTGCACATTCATACGAAATCCGCTCTATAGTAATAAGTGTCGACCAGGCTCTACGATTTCCAGGTAGATTTCATGAATATAGATAAGTATAGGGATTACCAAAATTCCCACCCTAGAAACTGCACAGCTCAAACAGTCAAAATCCTGCAGTTAGCCCTAATCCCCTTGGGTTTTACATTGGTTCAGTCACAAAGTACCCTGTGTATTTTTTCCTAAGTTTGATGGCTTAATGAACAACAATAACCTACTTTGCAAAGAAGTCACCTCTAAGTGGGTACTAACTGGGTTCATGTTTAACTTAGGGAAGTTAGAATACATTTATACTGTATCAAATGTAATGTTGCATCCACCATCATGTTATATATGATTGCTGAGAGTGATGACATCATGTCCCGGGACCACATAACTCATTTGGTAGGAATTCTCGTCATTATCACCCTAACCAGGACCAAAACACTGATTTCAAACCCTAAAAGGAATGACGAGGACCACCTGCCATTTTTTATTAGCCCCGGGCATCATGTACAACAACATTGCATGTGGGGGAGGGGCGNTGCAATGATAGAAACCTGTGAATAATTGTTTGTAGGTGTGAAAGAAGGTTTCTATCATTGCACGCTCAACGGTTGTCTCGCTTCGATGCAAAGGCACGGCTACCTTTCAAGATGGCGCAGGTAACCGTGAAGAAGACCATTGAATCCTAATCCACCATTTAGGCCTGACAAAGGTCCATTCCATGTTACTCTTTATGAAAATGAAGACAGTGCACAGATGTTACGTGTACAATTACGATTTGGGGTTACAGCCGCCAATTGAAACGTAGCCTTCCAGAATAGGGTTAATTCTTCCCAGAACTGCATGTGGTTGGCTTATGATCAGAGGCAAAATACTTTTAAGCATTTTAAAAGATACAAAATACTTTCAAGCATCTTAAAAGATGTTAGGTGTTTGTGAAAATCCGGAGTACATATGCATCATCCACACAATTTATGACATAAAAAGGACATATTTTGGAGCTGTCTTTACACCTGACCATCTTCAAGACTACCCAAAGTGTGATGTTCAGATTCTTTAGCTAATATCTTATTTGCAACCATCACCAGATACAGCATCTACATTAACCAGATGATTGCAGAAATAGAATATATCATCCCAATGACAATTTCACAGCTTTGAATCCCGTYACACTCTRCGTCTAATTAAGTGACTRCCAATCCAAAATCAGATCCCAAATCCGAAGTTCAACTAAGACCAGGAAATTCGGTCAGACAGTTTGAAAGCAATTACAGAAGGAGCCACAACTTCAAATGCGTGCTCAAGGAAGTGTTATGCTTCTCGTAGTTTTTACAAAATACCCTGAAATTTGATAAAAATGTGGTAAATAAATCGTCCACTAGTTTTCAAAGAACACATTCAACTGAACAGTTAACAGTTTTACACTTTACAGTTTACACTGGTGACACAAGTCAGYCATTGAAGAAAATGTTAAGAAAAAGATTCACAAATACAGTTCAAAGTTTCAATATAACAAACCTCAGTTCTTTCAATCGATAAAGATAATAACAACTGAATATCAATTTGGAAATTTGTATCAGTTTGATAGTGGAAGACAGGATTCAACCCATTTCGATGATAGTGTCCGCCATTTTGCTTTCTTTACGTACGCATGCGCAGTTCGCAGAGTGTTACGGATAGCTCGCGTGCCTCCGCCTTACGTAACAGATCTTCTACGAAAAAACTTTTTAATTTTACTTAATTCCCTTTCACTTCCAAAGACTTGGAAAATTGCGTTAAACAGATTCCTAAAAAGGGCCCTAGACCTTCTCACATAGAGAGCCTTAAAGGGAATCATAAATCACGGCTAAAAATTTGGCATCATCATCACAAGAATTTCTAAAACTTCCACTTACCATACTTATCTAAAACCTAAGAAAACATGATAATATTTTTACCAAAAACATCAGGATAACATTGGAAACATSGGCAAAACATTGTTTACTTAAAATTCAAATTGTTAACTAAGGGACGCTCTTGGAGCGTGAAGTCGGGTTGTCCATTTTTCAAACTTTACAGGATATTACATGGTGGGAACTAGCGGTAAGTAGGGCTGTCCACAACTTGCTCCAAAAAGTTCAAAAAGTTNATGACATCATGTCCCGGGACCACAAAACTCATTTGGTAGGAATTCTCGTCATTATCACCCTAACCAGGACCAAAACACTGATTTCAAACCCTAAAAGGAATGACGAGGACCACCTGCCATTTTTTATTAGCCCCGGGCATCATGTACAACAACATTGCATGTGGGGGAGGGGCGCATGGATGAGGAATGAAAGGTAAGTTGCTTATGATCATTGCATAGTATGATGACATCACGTACAACAACATTGCATGTGAAGGGGAGAGGAGGGGAGAGGAGGGAGGGAGGGTTGCGCATTAATATAGCATGGTAAAACATCGCAACTTTTTATTCTGACTATGATTGCAGTTCTTACTTTGTTAACTGCATAAACATCCCTGCTGACAAAGAACTAAAAGCATCATTCAACCTCAACCTGGGCAAACCCATGAAGAAGAGAAGTATATTTTCCAAAATGATCGCACTAATAAACAATGGAATTATGTCATTCAGGTAATCTGGGACATCATTCACTTGTGCGAAAGAAGACTCTGATGGTGTTAGGGCATACAGGAAAGACCTGATGCCTTGCTCTACTGTTAARTCTTTGGACAACTGTGGGTAAACAAAAGTGACAAATTATTAATATTATAAAAAAAAGTCAAATTAATCATTAAGGCCAATTTTCACCTACATGTATGACGTAGTATTATGACTCAAAAGAGCTTCAAGTTGCGCTGTGTAAATTATGCCCCTACAACTTGCCTACGACTGGCGCACGGAGTTTTGAGCAAAGCATCAAAATAGAAAAATGGCGTGATTTCTCTCCAATTATTAAGACTGGAACTTTATAAAATTTCCACCAATCAAATTGCAAGTTTATCCATTTGAAAGAAGGATGCTTGAGAAGTCAAAATGGTGAAAACTATTGAAGTTGTTCTGTTATAGTGGCAATCTTTCTGTCAACACATGCAAACAAAGGCTAGTATGATAAACAATATTGACTCTATACTCTGGTTTGAGATTGTTTGAGATTTTAATCTACTACTACSGCCATCTTGTTTGYTGCTYTCCCCAGGCCATTGGGAAGCAAACCGCACGAATCTCACACGATTTTAGCATTGGCGTGTGCGAATCGTATATCGTGTGAATGGTACCTACGAC